AAAAAAAAAAAAAAAAAAACAGATAATATGGCTTCAGATCTTGAAGAGATCAAGAATGAGACTGTCGATCTCGTAAGTAATTTCCTCTTTTCGACAAAATTGCACGTTTTTCTTGTGTCGAACCCGAAAAAAACATGCATGCATGTGGTGTTGTCGCGCAGGAAAACATTCCCATCGAGGAAGTTTTCACGGCGTTGAAATGCTCGAGGGAAGGGCTGACGAGCGATGAAGGAAACAAGAGGCTCGAGATCTTCGGGCCCAACAAGCTCGAGGAGAAAAAGGAGAGCAAGTTCCTCAAGTTCCTCGGCTTCATGTGGAACCCTCTCTCGTGGGTCATGGAGTCGGCAGCTATCATGGCCATCGTCTTGGCTAATGGCGGGGTAAAGATATGATCATTTTTTGAATAAATTGCTCTAGAGCATATTATTAATTAATCTAAATTATTCGTAAACCGTGCAGGGGAAGGCTCCGGACTGGCAGGACTTTGTCGGCATAGTCGTGTTGCTCATCATCAACTCGACTATCAGCTTCATCGAGGAAAACAACGCTGGAAATGCCGCGGCCGCTCTCATGGCCGGCCTTGCCCCCAAGACCAAGGTTTCGTAATTTTCGAGCATTTGATTATTTTTCCAGTTTCGGTTACTCATAATATGCTGACGAGAAAAAATAAAAAAAATTGCAGGTTTTGAGGGACGGCAAGTGGAGCGAGCAGGAGGCCTCGATCCTCGTGCCGGGAGATTTAATCAGCGTGAAGCTCGGTGACATCATCCCGGCCGATGCTCGTCTCCTTGAAGGTGATCCTCTGAAGATCGACCAATCGGCCCTCACGGGCGAGTCCCTTCCCGTCACTAAGCACCCTGGCCAAGGCGTCTACTCGGGCTCGACCTGCAAGCAGGGCGAAATCGAGGCTGTTGTGATTGCAACTGGGGTCCACACATTCTTCGGCAAGGCTGCTCATCTTGTTGATAGCACCAATAACGTCGGCCACTTCCAACTGGTAAAAAATAAAAATAAAAACTTCTTACACGGCACACGTAATTTTTTCTTGATGGGTAAATAAATAATCGTTCTTTTTTTTTGGTAGGTTTTGACGGCAATCGGTAACTTCTGCATATGCTCGATTGCAGTTGGCATGGTGATCGAGATACTTGTAATGTACCCGATTCAGAAGAGGAACTACAGGCAAGGGATTGACAACTTGCTGGTGTTGCTTATTGGTGGTATCCCGATTGCCATGCCCACGGTTCTTTCCGTGACGATGGCCATCGGGTCCCACAGGCTGTCTCAGCAAGGTGCCATCACGAAGAGGATGACGGCCATTGAGGAGATGGCTGGCATGGACGTGCTCTGCAGCGACAAAACCGGAACACTTACACTCAACAAGTTGACGGTCGATAAGACATTGATCGAGGTTTTCCCCAAGAACATCGACAAGGATGCTGTGGTTTTGTTCGCAGCCAGGGCTTCGAGAATTGAAAATCAGGACGCTATTGATGCTTCCATTGTCAACATGCTTGGTGATCCCAAGGAGGTAAGATAATATAAGACAAATCAAAGAAAAGAAAAGAATATGAAATTTTGTGGTGAACATTCATTGATTTTTTGTTTGTGTGTGATTTTAGGCGAGAGCCGGAATTAAGGAGGTGCATTTCCTGCCATTCAACCCGGTGGATAAGCGCACGGCTATCACATATATCGACAATGATGGGAACTGGCATAGGTGCAGCAAGGGTGCTCCCGAGCAAGTAAACGACAAGAAATGATAAACTTCAAAAAATTTTGCTTCCCTTTGGTCAATAAGCTTAAACTTTAACCGTTTCGTCGAATATTTTTCGACAGATCATCGAACTATGTCTCCTCAAAGGTGAAGACCTGAAGAAGGCACACGCCGTCATCGACAACTTCGCCAACCGTGGCCTCCGATCCCTCGGCATTGCCAGACAGGTAATAAATAAAATAACAAGTTCACAAAAACTAATTTAACTGAAAACATGTATTTTTCTTCTTTTTTTCTTTCAAATTATCTTGTGACGAAAGTTTTTTCCCTCCGCAGACCGTAAATGAGAAGACCAAGGAAAGCGCAGGCGAGCCATGGGAGTTCGCGGGCTTGCTGCCATTGTTCGACCCACCAAGACACGACAGTGCCGAGACCATCAGCAAGGCCCTCGATCTTGGTGTGAACGTCAAGATGATCACCGGTGACCAGCTGGCGATCGGAATTGAGACCGGCCGACGCCTTGGCATGGGAACCAACATGTACCCGTCATCTGCCCTTCTCGGCCAGAACAAAGACGAGTCTATTGCCTCCATTCCCATCGACGAGCTCATTGAGAAAGCCGATGGCTTTGCCGGAGTCTTCCCTGGTAAAAGAAATATAAAAATAACAAATATGCATTTTATATTATTAACTAAATGAAATAAACTAACCGACTTTATTCATTCATCCGCTTCGCAGAACACAAATACGAGATCGTGAAGAAACTCCAGGAGAGGAAGCACATTTGCGGGATGACTGGTGACGGTGTGAACGATGCGCCGGCGCTGAAAAAAGCCGACATTGGAATTGCGGTGGCCGATGCCACAGATGCCGCGAGGAGCGCATCTGACATTGTCCTAACCGAGCCGGGACTGAGCGTTATCGTGAGTGCTGTCCTGACTAGCCGAGCCATCTTCCAGAGGATGAAGAACTACACAATCTACGCTGTCTCGATCACTATCCGTATAGTGATGGGATTCTTGCTCATTGCACTTATCTGGAAGTTTGACTTCTCGCCTTTCATGGTCCTCATTATTGCCATTCTCAACGACGGCACAATCATGACCATCTCAAAGGATAGAGTGAAGCCTTCACCAGTGCCAGACTCATGGAAGCTCAAGGAGATCTTTGCCACAGGGGTCGTGCTCGGAACTTACATGGCTCTCATGACCGTCATTTTCTTCTATCTTGCTGCCGATACCGACTTCTTCTCCGTAAGTTTTTATTTTTATTTATTTTCGGGTAGTAAATAAATTAAGCATTGTTTTTCGTTATTACTGATTTTTCCTCTTTTTTTTTTGTTTTTGGTATAGCAAATTTTCAATGTGAAATCATTGAGGGAGAGCCCGGATGAGCTTACAGCTGCACTCTACCTTCAAGTGAGTATTATTAGCCAGGCCCTCATATTCGTGACTCGGTCGAGAAGCTGGTCGTTTGTTGAGCGCCCGGGTTTCTTGCTCATGGGAGCTTTCTTGGTGGCCCAGTTGGTGAGTAACTAAAAAAACTAAAAAAAAAAAAAAAAATCAGCAATGTGCTTACTATGAAGTTTGTTAACTGTGAGCTCGTTTGACTTCAGTTGGCCACGGTCATTGCTGTGTATGCCAACTGGGAATTCGCAAGAATCAAGGGCATCGGGTGGGGCTGGGCCGGAGTTATTTGGATTTTCAGCATCATCACTTACTTCCCGCTCGACGTTATCAAATTCATCATCCGGTTTGCATTGACCGGCAAGGCTTGGGATTCCATGATTCAGAACAAGGTTCTGTGTTGAACAGATACTGTTTTATTTTAATTTTTAATGTTCCTTATTCCAAGATTCATTTTTTAATCTTCCGTTTCTCTTTTTTACCTTTTTTCTTTTCTCCTTTCGGAACGAATTAGACTGCTTTCACCACCAAGAAGGACTACGGAAAGGGAGAGAGAGAAGCACAGTGGGCCGTGGCTCAACGTACACTCCACGGGCTGTCGACAGCTGGCGCTGATAGCTCTGCCCTCATGAACGACAAAAGCTACAGGGAACTGTCTGAAATTGCTGAGCAGGCTAAAAGGAGGGCTGAGGTTGCCAGGTAAAAATATAGACATGATCCTTATTGTGCACAAATTATAACAGTGTGAGACAACAAAAATAGTGTGTGGTGTGATCAGTACGCGTAATTACTAGTGACACGTTTATTACAGGCTGAGAGAGCTCCACACCCTTAAGGGACACGTCGAGTCGGTTGTGAAGCTAAAGGGATTGGATATTGAGACCATCCAGCAGCATTACACTGTGTAAGAGCTCAAAGATGTGGAAGGAAAGAGATTAACTGTTGAAGAAAACACAAATTCAAAAGATCAAGAAGCAACATGTCTGTTTTTCATTTTTTTCTGATACATACATATATATATATGTAGGTGGTTATTGTAAAAGGTTGTGTGAAATAAATTTTCAGAGAATGCACTTTGGATGGAAATAAAAGATAATGCAATGTTACTTTTATTACATGATAATATTGTGTTTATTGAATGTGAAATTGTTTTATTGAATGGGTCAGAAAACATGGTAGTCAGATTAAAAAAGAAAAAATAAAAAAAAAATAAAAAAAAAATAAAAAAATGGATGGTCATATAATAACACTCACACAAGCATAAGCCTACTCAAAAAAAGGCCATCCAAACACAGATGCCACAGAGTATCAATTAGGCAGTCATGTACATACTTACATACTTATGCATTGAAATATTATACTTTGTATTATATCTTAAATTATGATAATTGAGTATAAAAAATATGTATATTTGTTCGAAGAATGACTATCTAACCATTAGAAGACCTACCACATCCATGAAGTCCATTACAAGGAATCCAATATTTCTTTTCATGTCTTTCGAGTTCTCAAATATGCAAGTGCAGAAACACGGTTAATTGTTTGTGGACTAAAAAGAAAGTATTCCCTCGTAGACACGGGCATGATTAGGCACCATCGAATAGTGTGCATGTCTCCTTTGCCAAGATACATAAATAGCATGGCATTCTTGAATTGCAAGTGTTGTGCTATCAAGATGGACTTGACAAGCTGACCAAAATTAGGCTTTACGTACAATTACTCGTCTTTCCCGTTTGTATTCTACTTCATCTCTTTGGTGCATTATCAATAAGGCCCTTCGAACCTGGAACAAACATCGATCAACTAACGCCATTAGATTTTCAAACAACTAATGACATTAGATACAGCACAACTGATACTTCTGAATCGGCAAAAATTTGGTGATTCTTACAATAGATTCATTCATGCCCATCCTAGTGAGCTCATCAATTAGCCGCCTCTCAGATATATGGCTTCCAATTCCCATTCTTCTCTTTATCTGGGTTTCAGCTTGCTGTAAAAAAAGATAAAAACATAAATATGTCAGTGTCGTTCAGGTTAGTAGGCAGGTCATTAGAGCCGCGCTGTTCACCTTTATCTCATTCGCTAGCTCTGGAGTGAGGTTTATGTGTTGGTTTATTCCAGAACGGGCCGCATCCATGGTGGCATTATTAAAGAGTCTCATGGCTTCAAGGACATGGTTATCGTTTGCAACATGAGACCTAAGAAAGAGAAGGAAAAAAAAAATGAGCTAAGGACGGCAAACTTAGTATTCAAGATCAAACAAAGATATAAAAATACCCTGCCATGTTGTATAATACCAATAAAACATGTAGTAGAATATAATATAAGATCGCGGATTTAAACATCTTAAACCTCTTCCATTGCAAACAAGTACCACGGAGAAGTTATTTAATGCGGAAATGGTTCATGACAGCTTCAGAACCAACAGTTTTCAAGAAATTGCACTTTTGTTCTCGCACAGCAACAAAACCTTCCAAGAAACTCATATACTTCGTCTGTTTGACATTTTGTTTCTTGAAAAGAGCATTTTGATATCTGGATGACATAAAATCTGGATCATGTGTAGATTATAAAATAGCTCTTTCGATAATATCTCTGGAAATTTCCTCACTATTCATCTGCTTTTGGAGTTTATGATTCACAATGTGATTTTTCAAGCAAGAAACAAAAATAAGTTGAGTAAAAAGTAACTTACAATGTCATTTTAGCAAGAGCTTCGCTCAATCTGACTATAGCTTCCAACTGCCTCACTGTAATAGGTATAGCAGCTGCCTCCCCAGTTTCATTTGCTTGCCTTCTCATGTCCTGCAAGAATCAATGCACAATTAAGACTTATCAATCTCCCGCGCCTCTCGAACTACAAGGAAAAATGAAAGTACAACCATTCATAGGGTCAAAATTGACTTGAGGAAAAATCAGGACGCCCATGCCGATTTGAATCAAACCAAACTCCCAAATAAAAGAATCAGATTAAAAAAAAAAAAAAAAAAAANNNNAACTAGAAGCATAAGTTGCATCAGCTCAAGCAGATTGGTGGCTGAAGTTCAAATATTGCTGTACTTAGAATCAAGACATCATAACAAAGGGCTATAAGAACACAACCAGAATAATCTTCCAGTCCTGTCACCTATTTCATTAAGTAGGTGGAAACACGCCGAGGCGCGTAGGAAACAAACTATCTGAAAATAGGTACAAGGACATGATAAATGTATCTTAAAATCACCTATCCACATCACGCACATGATGTTTTTCCCAACCTTCGTGATAATTATGTCATCTTTTCTAGAAGAATTCTTACTTTTGTGCTTTTTCTCAGTTAGACTTGGCCAAATGACAGGAATCATAACAAGATAAGCTAACAGTACTTGGGACTAAATTAACATCCAACAATAATTTGACTGTCAGCATTTAAATACAAAACTAACACGGCTAGGAAATAACTAAATATAGTATATGCCTCAGTATAATCTAGGGCTAGAATCATCACAATACCTGTCTAATCTTAACGTAGCTCTCCTGCAACCTAGAAGCTGCAGATTCTGAGAGGCGGGGATGGCATTCAGTTCGACAATAGTGTATGTACCTGTGCAGAGTTGTTTAATTAGTGAAGGAAATCCATCATTTAAGCAACCACAGATGGTGGGAAAACTGAAAAAAAAAAATAAAAAAAAAATAAATAAAGAAGGCACAAGATCTTAGTTAGGTAGAGACTTCTTCAGCCAGTTATCCTCTTTGGAAGTCCTTATCTCACTCATAGCAGCATCAGCAGAGGCATGAACTTTGATGACGTGACTGGCAATATTCTGCAAATGCATCAAATTGAATTAAATTTCAATCTTATTATCCACCTTTTGCAATCTCAATGAACTTAAGTCAGAGCAGAATGCACGGTTACCAACAGCCAAACTAACAAGAAAACAAACATTGAAAAATAACCCATTCTTCCCATCCGTGGACATGTGAATGTATAAACTATCATGTCACATTTCAATATTCCGTACCTTGTCTTGCGCATACATCTTGATATCTTTCACAATAAAAATTAAGTCAAATCTGGAAAGAATAGTGGTCTGCAAATCAATGTTGTCTTGAGCAGACTGAAAAGCAGATTGGCAGTCAGTTAATTTCTTTGATAGTCTAGATATATACAGAATAAAGGCTGAAGTAAATAGTTAGAAAACAAAAGTATGGGACCATGAGATCATCATAACGGCCAGATGGGGGATTGGCTGCAGCAAGCACGGATGTCCTTGAATTAAGAACAGTTGTTATTCCTGCTTTAGCAATGGAAATTGTTTGCTGCTCCATAGCTTCATGAATGGCAACTCTAGAAAAGAAAACATAATATCTTTTAGCTCACTAGTTCTGACCACTACAATATTAAATGTGCGTTTCTGATGTAAAATCTAAGAAAAAGCAAATCCCTAACCTGTCTTCTGGCCTCATCTTATCGAATTCGTCAATGCAAACGACACCTCCATCTGCCAGGACCATAGCACCACCTTCCAGATAAAACTCCCGCTAGAGTATTAAGATAAGGAACACATTGCATTCATTCGAATTAGAAGATGAATGACAAACTTAGAATGTATCAAAGAGATACCATGAGTTGCGGCACTAATAACAGCTCAACAAATATTGAAAAGGTGCTTAAACTCACAGAACTATTGTCGCGAATGACAGAAGCAGTCAAACCGGCAGCGGATGATCCTTTTCCAGACGTATACACAGCTATTGGAGCTGTCTTCTCAACAAACTTGAGAAACTACACATTGAATATACACCAACTCAGAAACTTATGGTGCATTTGGGTTAGACATACACAGAATAAAAGTCCTATTATCTTCATTGAACTAATTTCAATGCCCAGATGCACCAACCAAACTATAAAGCATGCACTAACCTGTGATTTGGCTGTAGATGGATCCCCCAACAGCAATACGTTGATATCCCCTCTTAATTTTACTCCATCAGGTAAAGTCTACATCAACAAAAGGGTACAATCTAAGGTAAGATCCAAGAAAATAGCATCAGTCTCACGTGTCCAGTAAAGGATCATTAACATACCTTTCTGGAACCACCAAAAAGAAGGCAGGCAATAGCCTTCTTCACGTCTACATGGCCAAATATTGATGGAGCAATCTTGGAACATATTTGCTCATAGGCATTACTGTCTGAAGCAAACTTTTTGAACTCTTCAATCTAAATAGGGCAGAATGTATTAGCTTGTTAATATGTATGAAACATAAGATCACACCCTGAAAGGAATAGGGAGTTTTTACTGAAGATGGAAGCACAACTACAATTAAAAGTTACCTCGTCTCTGGTGAAATTAGTTGGACCCCGAGAATTTGACTCTGTACTTTCTTCAAGTCCAACAACCCTAATATACGGCTGCCTAACTGCAACTGCTCCTTTGTGACTGTACATAAATATTCAATAAAGCTTACACCATGCAAGTAGGTGGAATGTATTTCCTAATTGTTAACCCAGGTACAAGGGCCTTACGTAGTGGATGAGCTGGCAGCTTGAAAGATACTGTATATGCCCATAATGGTCAATCTTGTGCCAGGAACAATTGTTTGCACAAGATGGCGATCAACAGAAAGAAGCACGTTTCTTGGCAACTCTCCAGTTGGCACATCCTAAAATTTCATACAAATTAATGGAAATATAAAACATGTTGCAGAATTTATAAAAGGTGCAATCTTTCAACCTCACACTGTTTATAGTAGTAATAACAGGCCATGTTTAGTAATCACCTCAGGATTTTCTTGGAGTTTCAACGTCTGTTGATCAACGTACTTGCTTTTATCAGGAACAACAATCCATGGATCAATTGGGCAAGGATCTTCCCCAGGCTACAGAAGTTCAAGAAGCTACAAGATATGATGGAAAACAATAAAAGAATTTAATACAGAACCCTGACAATTGCATTTGATGGGAAGACCTGAGCGACATGGTCACAAGATCGCGGGACGACAGCTCCACCTAGCCCAGGACGACAGGGCACAAGCTTGACATTCTTACAGTTTTTACATAATAATGTCACATATGTTGCTTTTGCTTTAGTTCTCGATGCAGCAATGACAATCCCAGATATTTTTACCAGCTTTGAAATATATTGTGCCTACACACGCATCACACCAAGAGAAAAACCACCAGTTTCATTGAAAATCTCATTTTCAAAGATGATAATGATTATAAATACACAAAAACTCATAAAGCTAAGCAACTAACCCCGAGGGAACGCATTGACGCGGGATTCTGCTCGGACCTCAACAGCACTTGCACTTCACCAGGCACTGGCTCCTCCATTTCTCCGGCTTCTCCAGCCACCCTGGATTTTAGACCCACCAGGACCTCTGCTGCTGCAGTTTCAAACTGATTTTCCCAAAATAGAAAAAATGCTGAATTAAAAAAAATTACAAGCTTACACCAAACCCCAAAAAAAATGTCACTGTTCAACAGATCCTATGGAAAAACCTAGTACGAGTTTACAACACGCATTAATTCGTGAAACCTCATCCACGCAAGAGGCAAGTAGACCCAATTCCATTTGGCATAAACCGAATCAAACATCAAATACCAAATTTAATTTGTTCAATGAGTCACTATCAAGAAGAGTTACGCTTGCTCACGAGACATAAGCTTGACGTGTTATTATACTCACGAGCGGGAGGTAATCGGCGGGGTTCTGGCGAAGGCACTGAGGGAGGGTTTGGTCGGGATCGTAGGAAATGAGGTCGGCTAGATCGACGAGCAGGTACTTGGGGTTGGACAGAAGGGCCTCTCTGTAGGGGAAGACATTGGGCTGGCTCTTGTGCTGGAAGCTCCTTATGAACTCCTTGCATTTCTGCAGCACCGCGTGGCGGCTGGCCGCCTCCGTCGGGTCGCTGACGCCGCCGCCGGCCGTGGGGAACTGCGCGTGGTCACTGTAGAAAACGCCTCCCTCATCCCAACCAGACATCTCTCAGTAGATCGCGCTTCCTCTCTCTCTTTCTCTCAGCGATTGGAAAACAAGGCGAGCGTGTCTGCGTGTGGTATTGAAGAAAGACTGGTCGGAAATCAGATCGTGGAGGAATTGAGGGTTTAGTTACGGCGCTTGACTGCTTGGGCTTGAGGTGTGTCTCTTGGCGGGAAACGTTTGGCGGGAAATGGAACGCGTGATTAGCACGCGAGGAGGAAACTATTGTGGGCACTAACGAAATCTGCAAAAAAAAAAAATAAATAAATAAATAATTGATTAATTGTTCGACTAATAAATCGGTTTTAAATATGGCAAAATATCTCGTTATATTTGAAATTTTCCTAAATTGCTAAATCATCGCGACTTTTGAACTTTGGCAGAGAATATCACAACATTTGATTTCTTTGCAAAACGATACACGAATGTCTGAAATTGACAATTTGTGCTTACGTGTCCGACTAACCTGAAATTAAAAATTTAATGTGTATATATTTGTCCCACGTGCAGAATGACATGGAAAACAAGTATAAATAACCCTATTTCCCCTCAAACTCTCCTATCTCCCTCCCCCAATGTGTTCCACTTTATCCTAATTTTCTCTCCCCAAATCTTCTCGAGTCTCGACACCCCGCCATGCAGCCAGCATAGTCGTCGGAGTCGCCAAACGACAGCCGCACTGGGATCACGTTGTACCCGTCGACTAGCTCAAGACGTAGAAGTCCTCCGCCATGCAGTCGGGGGCGCCGCTGATAGCGAATTCCACTAGGCTGATCAGCGGGGCGCTCCCACCAGCACACCGAATTCTGGCAGGGAACTCCCTCGTCATGAAGTTGCCACTCCCGATGGCATCGAATGAGCAATCGGTTCGGGACTAGAAGTAGCCCGACCAGCCCGCCGATGTCGGGAGGTAAATGAAGCCTCCGTGAGGGACTTCCTGCTCCTCCTTACCTGAACTTATTTCACTACTCGAGTCATCCCCAAATTTCTCATGCTCGTTGAAGAGGGCATCCCATTTTAGTAAGCCCGACGGCAAGATCTCGAGGACCAACGAGTGGACCAATTTTTTTGGGATCGGGCTCGCAATCCTTGTGTGTGTATGTGTGTGTGTTTTAATGTTGGTGAATATACAAAAATAATAGATATTGTTGACTTTACTATATTTTCATACATGTTTTTCATGTCATCATCCACATCAGATTATGTTTTACATATCACATCAGATTATGTTTTACATATCAGATTTTTAATTCTACATAAAAATGTTGGTCGGACACATAAGCAACGATGGCCGGTTTCTGACTTTGGTGTATCGTTTTGCAAGAAAATCAAAGGTCGTGATATTCTCTGCCAAGGTAAAAAGTTGTGATGGTTTAGCAATTTAGGAATATGACGTGATATAACGAGCTATTTTGTCTTTAAATATCAGCCCTCCTAGCAGTCTTTTACTTCTCAAAAAAATAAACAAGAAAATACTTTTTAATATATTTTCAAGTGAAATAAATATACATATTTAATATTTAAATATATTGAGTTATGCATAAATTATTATATTATTATATCATATGTTTAATAAATTCAATTTATAACTGATATGATATCTAATAAGTTATGAATTTGAGATGATAATTATAACTTATGATTGATTATTGATAAATTTTAACTGATAGAGTGAAAATATAGATGACAATGAGATATAAATTAATAATTAATGTTTAATGGGTGAAAATATAGCTGATAGCTATAATAAAATTGTTTGATAAATTAATTGTTGCATGAGATGAAGTAAAATTTTAAAGAGTTATTTAATAATATAGAAACGTCATACAAATCTTTTTTAGTATTAATAAATTAAACAACCATTTAAAGTTGTTTAAAAACTGCACGATTCACTAACATAATTTGGTTGAACTCATGAAAGTTCGTTCATTTACTTAACAAACCGAACTAAGCAACTAGACGAATCGTTTCATTAAATGAGTCAAATTGAGTCGAGCTTGTAAAGAACAACTCATTTTCTTTTTCACTTTTTGTGAGATTTAATTTCTAAATGAAATGGCTGAATCAAAATTATGTGCATTAAGCAGGTTGAGTCGAACTTGTACGAGTTTAGATGAGTCAAGCTCAATTGAACATTTGACTCATTTATTAATTGAATCGAGCCGAATCGAAATGGTGTATTTATTTATTTTTCTTTCTTTTTTAGGAAAAACGATTCATTTATAAAATGAACACCAAGTTAAAAGGAAAGAAGACTCGAACAACACTTGGGGACTTTGTTCAAGTAGCCTAGTTGAACTAGGAAATTGTTTAAATACCTCATTTTTTTTTCAACGGTAAACTAGCAAATATTATAACCTCAAATAAAAGTACATCGGGTACCTAACTAGTAACAAGGTTATAAGCGAAACAACCTAAATGAGGCCACGCACAGACACAAGACAACTCTAACCGCTTCCTTCAAGGGCCTCTTTGGCCAAACCAACACAAACTTCACAAACCGAACAACCTAAAAGAAAACTACAAGAAATAAAAAAGATTACACAAAGCAATAAAAACAAAAGAAGCACCGTTGTCTTTCCATTGTTGTTCCCTTCTCCTATTAAGCATAAGAACAACTTCTTGATTAGCCAAGTTGCAAATGATATGCATCAAGTTGAAGTAACCACTCTGCAACAACAATGTTGGCATCCACTGATCTTCTTATGAAACCCCTAGATGTAATCCACACCTGCAACACCTCCTTCCCCTTACAAGCTCTACCTCCCAGTCCCAACCTCACATCATCACCAATATAAATACCAGCTGACAACTCAATGGTACCTTATGCATCTCCATTAAGCCCACCTTCACTAACCTCTTCGTCCCTCTCTAGTCTTCTCT